GATCATAATTTGGATTTTATGGCTTTTGGGGAGTGGGGGGGTTTTTATTTGATTTGTTATCTTTAAGCATTTAATTGATTTCCTTAACTTTGGATCTTACTCTAATGTAGATGTTTAGCTTTAATATTTAACACTTGTTTGGTGGTTGGTTGATATTCTTCTTACAGAAGCTATTAAATTGAGAAATTTATTAGACAACGGAAGGGGAGCTGAATAGATTGAAACCTTGCTCAGATTTGATTTAGGGGCATTTATAAATTATCTTTGCTAAAAATGGTAACTTATTTATTTATTTTTAATTTTTTGAGTAGCCATCGGATGGAGTCGGTAAAGTGTTGTTTGGAGTTCAAACCTCCAATGTAGAAACTGAAATTTCTATAAACATTTTAAAAATTGTTAGACCGACATTGTGGCTATACTTGTTAATATATAATGCTTGTTTTCTGTAATCCTTGATAAAGAGAAGACAAGAAGGAAAACAAAGGAAAAAATATTATTAGTAACATTTAAAAATAAATAAAAAATTGGTTGCCTCGATCCACTTTGCCTCCATCCAAGTGGATGGAGGCAAGGTCCATCCACTTCTCCATCCAAGTGGATGGAGGCAAATTTGTGGACGGATGCGTTTCTCCATACCCCCGTCCAAGTGGAAGAAGGAATTTTTGTGAATGGAGGCAAACTTGCCTCCAACCACTCCATGCCTCTGTCCAAGTGGAAGGGGGCATTTCTCCATGTCATAGAGGCATTGCCTCCATCCAAGTTGGATTGGGGCATGGAGAAATGCCTCTGTTCACTGGATGGAGGCATTTCTCCATATCTCCATCTAGGATTTAGACATCGGCATCTCCGTGAGATTTTTTTTTTTACAATGCTATCAATAAGAGAAGAAAGACTATTTAATAGCGGGCATTTATTGCATAATCAATTTATTTTTTTAGATTGTCTTGTGCTTTCAGTTAACAAGAATGATACTTGAATTGCCAATTGTCTTGTGAGATTTGAAAATGCCCACTTTGAATTGAGTTATGAGATAACCCAATTACTCGATCCATCTGGAGTAATGAAAAGTGACACTTGGTACCAATTTGTAAGGTAAATATTGAAGTTTCGGACTGATCAATGGATTTTCTTCTTCTTTTTATTTTTACTTTCTCTAACATTTATGCCAACTCTCATTTCGTTTTTGCAACTAAGCATATTTGATTTCTTAGTAAGTTTTTGTTCTCCTCTTTGTATAAGGTCTGGAAGCAATGGAGGTGGCTACAGAGCGAAAAAAACAAGTGTGTCGGTGTTGCCATGGATGAGAAATCCAGTTGATAATAGCTTCTACGAAGAATGTCCGTTTAATTTCCTCCCTTTTCTGAACCCTAGGTAATATATGTTCAACGACGGTACTATTGCAATTTGCAGCTGGACAATGTATTTCTTTTATTTTCTGTATATTTTCTTGTTTGTTTTGCAGAGTGGAAATTTCGACAGCATAGGAAAGGGGTTTGGATTAAATTATGGATGTATTAATACCATCACAACTTATTACACTGTGGTTAGATTAGTAGAATGATTTGTTACTTATTCTTCTATGATCCAATTTCTCTTTCTTCCCCTGTTACCCTCCCTGCTTTCCTTATTTTAGTTTCAGATTAGAGGTTGCATTATGTAACATGAGTATCACTTCGCTTCACTCTTTACCTTGTATAGCCAACTCTTATTGTCTTCCATATTTGCCTTGTGTTCTTGATTATTTGGGCCTAAAAGTTTCAATTATATATATTTATTCATATATTTTGACAAAAGTTTCATCTATATTTTATAGCAACAAACTGAGAAAAATTTATAACA